TTCTCTTTCTGAAGATTTATTAGCATAACTTGACATATAGTTGAGAAGCATGTGGATCAATACAACTCCAGTTCTCCTGCTAGGCCTCTGTGTCCACCATGTCTCTATTTGCATATTGCTTTTTCCTTAACTGACACTGTCAGGAAGCAACCTTGGCGTTTGCCCAAGCTCTCCAAAGCGCACGCACACACACACACACACACCATCGCCTCCCCCCTTGCCAGATACAAAGTCTCTTTACGGTACATGTCTCCTTATTCCTCCCCTCCCCCACTGTTCTCCCCTTTAAATGGCAAGCGGGTTATTAGTACTAGAATTAGCACTAATATTAGTAGTATTTTTAAACCTCAGCCTAGGCATTGCCTAGTGGAGGGTTTGATGTCAGCGATTCTTCTGTTTTCCCCTCCTTGGTACCCTGTCGGTCTGTCTGTCTGTCCCCCTCTCTCTCTGTCTCTCTGTCTCTCTCTCTCCTCTCTTGCTTTCCGCTGTAAAGCCAGAGGCCATTGTTAACCGTGAACAGGGCGTACCGAGAGTACAGGGCAGTCAGAATCCAAGGATTCCCTCAACATCTTTGGAAGGCTGTCGAGAATCTTGTGATTTCTCCCTCTTCTCACCTTCCCCCTCCTCCCCAAACGGATTGAGAGCGAGAGAGAGAAGACCCCCGCATCCCTCCACGAGAGCTTCTATAGAGAGATCCCCCCTCCCTTTGGCGTTATGACCGGATTTCTCCCTCTAGATATTCCTTGAACATTTTTTTTTAACCGAGAGGAATGGGGGGAGCTCTCCTCGCTTATTGATTGCGTTGCTTGCTGGCTGCGAAAATATATTATGTCTGCTCGCCGCGCTGCTCTCGTCAGAGGCTAAGGTAAGGTGGACCGAAATAGGCTATCAGTTGTGAATGGCGGAGACCGTGTCTCCATGATTTATAGCTGTATGACTCGCATCGCGGTTCATGAAGAGTTCACAAGCTCTAAGCTTCCTTCCACGCAGCGACTCTCTCTCGCTCGCTCGCTCGCTCGCTCTCTTCTCCTTCTTCTTCTTCCCCCTCCTTCCCTTCCCTTCCCTCCCCTTTTCTTCTACCCCCCTTTTGCTCTCTTTTTGCTATTCTCACTCCTTTATTTTTCCTTTTCTTTATCCTTCCCCTTTTCACTAGAATGGCTTCTGTCTCCTTCCTTCCTTCCTTCCTTCCTTCCTTCCTTCCTTCCTTCCTTCCTTCCTTCCTTCCTTCCTTCTTTTTTTCCTAATCTTCACTCTAATGAATATAGTAGCCCTTTGCTTTGAATTGTTATGGTGTATTACTATTATTATTATTATTATTATTATTATTATTATTATTATTATTATTATTATTATT